CACACATGTGGCTCACTGTTAACTAGAGCCTTAAACTCTGGGAGCTGTCGACTGCTGCTAAACTCCACCTTGGATGTGATGGATTTGACCACCAGTTTGACATGTGCGTAGTGCTTGATTGAAGAGAGGTTGAAGGCAAAAGGTCCAGGGCTGACAAGGCTGCTAAAGTGGTAGGGAGAAGGGGTGAGGAGGAGGCGCTTCTTGTCTCCTGTCAGAATGTATGAAGCCATGATGAGGAACATAACCGCCAGACCGAACATGAAGCTGTAGACACGGATCTTGCGAAAGCAGCCCAGTGTGCTCCAGCGCCTTGGCAGTTCCCGTTTCACCTCCAGGACTGCAAATAAGTTAATGGGTGCCTCATCCACCTGCAGGAGCAACGGCCTCTTGCGATAGTCATCCATTGCAGAGCCCAGCAGGCTGTATTTGTAATCCATCTGTGTCATGGTGTCACAGCTCAGACACAGGGAGGTGTACTGAAGTAGGGGCCAACCAGACAGGAAGTTCTGGGATCAGGCCAACAGTTTATATCCATGATGGGTTGTACAGAACAGCCCACTTCATCCACTGACACATTCCTGGTAGGAGGAAAATGCATAGGGAAACAAGAGAGAAGATTAGCTGTCAATACTGACTCACTGTTTATGTGTGGGTTGATGTAGCAACTTGCAAAACCTTGAGAAATTGTTGAAGTAACTCTTTGTTACCACCCACACTAGCTGTACGAGGCATTAGATGCCCCAGAAATTTCACTGATGCAATTCTGTGACAAAGAATAGACTGGTCGTCACATCCTCTTCATTGATAGCAGTGAAAAACTGAAACAAATCTGTCTGTCCTGAATATTGATGACTTAGACGAAATGTAATTAAGAAATATCCTATAAATGAAAACTACTTAATGTGACTTATAATTGAACAAAATCACATTATGCAGGTTTAAAGTAATTTTTCAGATTTTCTTTTACACGTCCTGTTTGAATCAGGCAGTACAGCAACACCCGACCCGACCTCTCGGTCCACCCCCGACCCCAAATCCTCCCTGTCCATCAGAGTCACAATATGGAGTGCACGATAAGGACGAGGGATGCATTCAGCCTAGAAAGTATGAGGCTGTATGT